TTTCGTTTTGCTGTGAGAACGGTTTCACCATCTCTCGTGCTGACAATATTGCATTTATCTTTGGAAAATTCGACGTTGTATCCTTTGTCGCAGAACTGACTTGTGTTCAACAGATCGAATTTTAGACCTTCAACGTACGAGACATTTTGAATTATTATACTATCTTTGATAACGTCTCTTGTTCCACGAGTCTTACCACTCGTTTCTCCTCCAAAGATTACTTTTGGACCATCAATTTCCTTAAAGTTGCTCAAAATTGTTTTGTCACCAGTCATATGTCTTGACATCCACTGTCTACATACCATATGACAGTGGTTCAGAATAATCAAACCAATCTTCTTCGGATGGTCCACTCCATCCATTGCCTGTCCTCGGTCTTCTGACTGACCTCTCGGCATGTCTGAAACGTTCATTTCTTTGTTTCGGATTTCCTCGTTGAGGGTCCTTTCGTGTATACACAAAACGATTTTGCCTCTAATTAACATTCGGTTTTGTCCTCGATTGATTATTCCTTGTAGGCTGACATTTCTTTTGGTATAGATTAGATCTATTGCCTTTTGGTCCGTTCCATTTGGCATTTTTGTGCCTAGGATTGCCTTTCAAGGGATTTTCATTTCTCGGTTCCACAATTTGTTGTACAGTCGTTCCCTTAGGTTGGCTTGTTGATTGTGGTATTTCACCATTGTTAACCCTAGTCACTGGCTCTGACACTTGAGTGGGGCCTTGAACAAAAGCAGATTTAAAACTTTCACGAGTATAGACATTTGTGGGTTTGTTCAAGACGACATGTGAAGAAGAACCGAGGTCATAACCAATTCTGGTTCTTTCCCCAGGCGATTTTGATCCATTCACCATTCGGTCCATTAGATTGGACGAATTATTGAATGAATCAAGAACCTCACGCAATTCTTGCTCCCGGATGCGGCACGAGGGTGCCTAAAATTGCAAGAGTTAGAGGTTGACCTGTTTGAAGTTGATGCTTGTTGGTTGGCCACCAGGGCTACATTTCTGATCTCGGGTTCTTCAGATTCCTTCGGCTCGTGTTCGAACTCATATGCTTTCAGATCAGTGAAGATTTTTTTTGTGCTGGTGGTATTCATGACTCTATGATCTCTCATTGATGTGACCTTCATATCCCATGATTTTGGGAGCCCTCGAAGAATCTTCAAGTTCTTCTCTTTTTCGGTAAGCTCCTTTCCGAGGTCTGAGAGATCATCCATGAGCTTCGTGAATCTGAGCTCTATGTCAGTAATAACTTCATTGGGCATCATTTTGGAGTCTTCGAACTTTTTCATGGTCACGGTAAGTTTGTTGTCCTTCTCCTGCTCGTCTCCTTCTCCCAGATTCATGAGAACGTTCCAAATTTCCATGGCTGTCTTGCATTTAAGCACTCTCGGGAAAAGGCAATCGTCCAGAGACTTATAGAGGATGTCTCATGCAACGTTGTCCAGGTTTGCTCGGGTTTTCTCATCAGAGGTGAGCTGAGGCTTTGGTTTAGGAATCATTGTTTCTGCATCAGCTCCCTTTGCAGCAGCCTGGGTGTTTACCATCATTACCGTGATGGGACCTGTGCATATAACATCCCACATCTCATTGTGGATGGCCGAAAGATGCGCCTGCATTTTGACTTTCCAGTCATCGAACTTAGACAAATTGAAGGCAAGAGGCCTAGATTGGTTAGAGTGATCTTTTTCCATTTTCTTTTAGAAAAATAGTGCAAAGACGAGAAAAAAACAGTTTTTGAAATTTTATAAAAGAGATCTACCATGCAGTAAAGGCAAAGCTTTTACCGTTCAAGGTAACTACTCTGATACCACTTGTTGGTCTCGGTAGGGTCGAAAGGAGAGTCTAGAAGGGGGGGGGGGGGGAGGGTGAATAGACTCAACTCGTTTTTCTCTAAAATAACTCCTTTCCGGGTTATTACGCAGCGGATGTGTTATACAAATTTTAGGTTGCTTTGTACTATTTGATCTTTTAAGAAAACTTTCGGTTAGGTCCGTATGATAAGCAATGCACGAAAGTAAAGTACTGAAAAATAAAGAGAGAGAGACAAAAAGTTTTATAGTGGTTCGGCCAATTGTGCCTACTACACTCTTCTTTCACAACTTGTGAAAGGTTTGCACTATCACTCCTAGTACAAATTACACCAAGATAGCTTCCTTGATCACTAAGCCGGACAGCTACTTGAAGGTTTTTCAACTCCTAGAGTTTACTCCGCCTCTATCAACGTCTTCTTCAGAGTTGAGGATTGGATGAGAATAATCTTGAGGTTCTCCAACACGATTAATTCTTGACTGGCTGGTGGATTAATGGATGATCAATGTATACAAAATGCAAGACTTCTACAAGGTTGAGTGAAAGAGATCTGATATATCTACTTGAAAACTTCACACCTTGAATCACTGGATTCCAAAAGCTTGAGAGAGTGAACTTGTATAAGGAGCTTTTGAGAATGTGTATTCGATTGTTCTAAAAACCAGGACCTTCTATCATGGAGAAGATGGGTATTTATAGGAGAGAAATATCCATCCGTTGGAGGGAGATGGCATTTCAAACCTATGATCCAGTGGTTAATAACCGGATAGCCTAGTGCATTTATTGATTCATTAAATGCAGTTGTACCATATAGACGTTGGAAAATAAGAACTCCTGCATGTTTTGTCTTCTAGCTCTGAAAAATGGTACTATGGCATTTAATGCACCTTGATAAGGGTGCTCTCATTCTTAGGAAAGCTTATTCCTAGGATGATCATCAGATGAGACATTTGACAACATTCTTCTTGAGTTGAGAGAAGATGAATTGTCTTGGTAGACAGAACTCTAGTTGTAATGTCTCTTGACCACAAGTTTGAATGAAAGGGTTTTTAGAGAGTCATGGTGGACACAGTTGCACAACATAATTTGCGATGCTTTGAAGGGAAATATAAAACACTACTAAGGTTCAAATCATAGCTACTAAGAACACATTCCTTTTTAAAATCGGGAATGTAAATAAAATCAAAAGTGCAAATATTGGGGCACACCCCTGACTACAACTCCGTATGAGAGGTTCAAAATCCCAAACCCATGCACAGGACTAATTATATAAATCCTATCTAGAACATGTAACAATTTAAAAGCTAATGACCCACCCAGTTACGTAAACCATAAAATTCAAATGTCGTGCTGTAATACAAACCAAACCCAATTTGAAAATATTCACAGCATGCATTTAAAAACCCTAATTATCTAGGAGCAGAATTTTGGTGGATAATTTAATAAAGCATTTGGAATCATTCCAGTCAGCTGGTCAAGCTTTGAAGCAAATTAAGCAACGATTAGAAACTAATTCCAGTGGCCCACCATTAAGCCATGCAGCGTGATAATCAATCCTCAAAATAAAAATACATGCAGCACAAATCCACTGAAAAAGATGCATGCGTGAAAAACCTTGTACGTGCCCCTTTCACAAATAGATTTAATGTTGGAAAAAGTGTTTGTAATCTGTAATACATGTGACAAACAACAAGGTTCAAGATTGGGATACAAGAAGATGAATGAAATTCTTAAGTTGCTTTGTTTAAGAATTGCTGTAGAATTGTAGAATTGTGATATATCAAGATATGCAACTATGAACCTTTGTAAGGTTATGGACCGCATGCAAATATATATATGCTTAAATTTCAAGGGCTCTTGGACACGTATGTATGGCTGTGGTTGATGAGCTGCGGTTCATCGGTTGGCTGTGATCAACCCCTTACACGGTGATCGGAGCGGAGGTAAAGCCCTCGAACCCGACCAATTCTCTCCGGAGTTGGTCAATATGCTTAAATTTCAAGGGCTCTTGGACACGTATCTCACAATCAAAAGGGATACGTAACCCGAGTTTGCGTGGATCCTCGAGTGCTACTTGTATTGCGCTTGAAATTCTTGATCATATTAAAAATGAGAGGAACAAGGAGTTCCACATCTAAGTTCGTGACTAGTCTTCAGGTTTCAAAGGGACAGACTCCTGGGGCAGTAGGAGGAGCATATCATTTGAGCACATCCTAGATAATGATATGGCATTGTTCATATTGAATCTTTGAGATGTTTTAGAAACTTGCCTCTGAAAATTACCTCTTTACACTGTCTATTCAGCCTGTAAATTCAGATCAATTTACACACTCCTCTATAATAGGGTTAGATTAGCCATACATACTAAATTTAGTGACAGATCTAAGCACGACTCGGCCATGTGTATACAACGACCATCGCAAATTAGCGACGGAATATTTTGTAGTCCCAAATCGTCATTGGGAGTCAAATAGCAACGGGCTTGAATTTTTGAAGTGAATAGTTTTGAAATTATTCGTCAGTTTTTCTATTTTAATTTTTTTTGTAATGAATATTTGGGTTTACCTTTATATTTTAAATTTCTATACAACTTTCTTAGATTTTCAAACTTGTATTTGTATTCCAAGCATTTAATTGAATTGACTCATAGTATTTGTATTTTTGTTCTATAAAATTAATAAAGTAGTACTATGTGCCTTTCAAAAAAAAAAAAGTAGTACTATGTTATATTCTTAATTCTGTTTGTTCTATTTTGTTTTTATAACATTTTCAGTACTTCTTTTTTTCTATTTGTTTATTGTATTTTTTTTATTTGTTCCTCTACTTTGTACATAATTTTTTTATAGCTCGTTTATATTTTTTAATATGATTTTCTTTTCCGTTACTTTATGGTAATTAAAATTTATTTCTCCAATCTAGAGAAGTTATATATTTATACTTTATGGTAATTAAAAATTTGTTTCTCCACAGCAATTGTTCAGACGTTAAGTTATTTTTTTAATTAACCATTCGTTCTATAAGTTTTATACCAATTAACTTGTGAGTAGTAAACCTACGCAAGATGTAAAACAACAAATGTTAAATGGGATATAAGTCATGGGTAGTTTAAAATGTTACCATTATGTAAGTTTTAAACTACGGTAATGTAATGGAGCACGTCGGAAGAACATTGAGTACGCAAAAGGTGCCGAAAATAATAAAATAATCACCTTTCCTCGACATCTAAAGCAATCGAATTCGATGGTTCACGGGATTCTAAGGCACAATACCATACAAATGAGCACCCTAAACAAATACAAATTGAGGAGTTTCCTTGGACCACAATAGCATACTCCAATTTACCTTTTTTTTAAAAAAAAACTTTTTAACAACTGATGTCGCACCGTCCGACAGAAATAGCATACTCCAATTTACCTAGCCATAAGTTCAAAATTAGTAAGAGAGCACGACGCATTAATAAATAGGCTTGATAAGATCCCGACGTGGCTCGTGAAACATTTGGTGAATAACAGTGGCATCTCATGAGAAGAAACATTTCAGTCAAATATGTAACACAAACATTATAACTTCACACCTAAGTGCAGTAAATACCAGTCTAAGTCCTTGATGAGATCTAGAGCTCGTTTCATTCAAATAAGTCTAGCAAATTTAGTAATATTAATAGTAATGGCACCTGGCCAAATGATCGTGGATACAACTTACATTACTGTACCATTTAGACAGGCCTGCCAAAAGTATGCAACAAAAGAGTACAATAAAAAATCAAACAAACAAAAGCACTGAGTAGAAATGGTACAAGTATAGATTGAAAAGAGAAACAAAATAGAAATCGGCAGTGGTTAAATAACATACTCCAATTACATTTGGATAATAACAGTGGTATCCCATTTGATATAAAAAAGCAACCATCTACTGCAGGGTTTGGTCCTAACCTGTGTTCCACGTTCAGGTGTGCCACTTCCACTCGAGATTAAGTAGACTATTTGGTAATAATAGCTAGCAAAATAAAAGTCTTGAGTAAGTAGTTAATATTCAATTGAATAATTATACTTATCGATTGGACGCATTAATGATTGGGTAATTAGCAACATTCTTAAGTAATAAGCAGCTCAGTTAGCTTTGTAATCAACATTGGGCAAACAGTACACAAATCAAAATTGGAAAGAGCCCTAACAATTTAAATTCTAATTACTTGATGTAAAATAAGAAATCTGAAATGGGATATATTAACGAGGGACATACAGTGGCCCCGTTGAGCCGGATAGAGAGGGCTGGCTGAGATCGTCGGAGACGGACTGCGGTGGTGAGAGCCTTAGAGCTAATATATCACAGCTAATATGCAAGGCAAGCGGAAGAATCACAATTTGCGTAATGACATAGTAACCATGAAATAAACTTTGAAGAAGAAATAAACACTAAAGTAACAAAAAGAAAAGAACTAGAGTAAGCGATCATATTTGATTATATTTAGAAAATTTCCATCTCAATATTCATGGAATGGAAATGGCATAATATGATAAAACCTTAAATTAACCTGATTAGGGAAGAGAGAGTGTTCGAACCTGAGGTTAAATTAACCTTAAACATAATATGATAAAACCAACACCATTTTGTTCAACAGTTGCAAGCAAATCCCAGTAAATACCAGTCTAAGTCGTTGATGAGATCTAGAGCTTGTTTCATTCAAATAAGTCTCTCCAATTTGCCTTTGAGCTACAATAAGAGGCAACAAAAGTACATGAAATATGGGGGATCCCTAATAACTCATATTTCAACGCACTCTCTAGATATCGGCACAGCAAAACATATGAAAAGATTTAAAACTTATACAATATTAGAGAAAAGAAAAGAAAAAAAATCAGTACATAGTAGTTAGAGAAAACATCAGGTTTAGCAAATGCATATTGACAGATGAATCACCTAAAGCAAAGGAATATTGCAATCAGGCCTAAACTTAGGAACATCTTGCAATCGGAAGGCTCAGAGCGGCTCAGAGCACTCAGATTTCATAGAAAAACAAACATTTAACATTTAAGTAGCAACTTGGGCTATAATTAAAAAGAATAATAAGCAAGTCCAGTCTAAGACATTGCCGACATGGATAGCTGCCAGCAGCAACAAAAATACAGTAAATATGTCAAAAAAAATGCAATCTAAAACCATAAGATGCAATCACACCTAAGCCTAAGGACATTTAAAACTATCTACAATCAAAAACTATCTACATTTCAGTCTATAACATCACAACTGATTGAGACCATACGACAATCAGATGCATGGTTGATTTATGAGCTGATGGAAAGTACTGTATTAGTGAGAGGCACCATCAGATGCATAAGCAAATGCATATTGCAATCACACCTAAGCTTAATCACATTTTCATCTATCTGCAAGCAAGCAAAAGCCTCAACGCACTCGATTTCATACAGAAACATGTCTGCAGCATCACAACTATAATGCAGCAAGCGGAAGAATAACCAAGTCCAGTAAAATTAAAAAGAACTAACCACGAAAGACACAGCAGCAAGAATTTGATTCAATGTAGTGATTATTTCATTGAAATAATTATCTCCAATTTGTAGTTGTGTGAAGATGAATGGTTGCAATATATGTTCGCAACTCATGGGTACTAAGACATCCATTTCAAGCAATAGAATTCGAGCAGCAATGGTACAAAGTAAGGATACAATACAATAGGAAATAAAAGAACCATAAGTATTGTGAATAGGAAAACAAATCAGCAGTAATTAACAACCCAAAGGATTTAATTAATTGATTTAAAATAACAAAAGGATTGTCAAGCAAATAAGAAAATTACCAGGTAAACGTGAGTGAGTAGTTAATGTAAGGAAAAAGATTGTGAGTGAGCAATCTACTAGTGTGCTCTGTATAAATCTAAAATCTAAAAGAAGCCGCAACTGAAAGAAAAGTATACACAAATATTTCAATATATAAATTTAAAAGAACTATGAAAAATTGTAGTGCTATTAAAATGTTACCTTCCGCATAAGTTGCTTGTTATCATGTAAGTTTTAAATCATAGATAGGATTTTCACTTTCCCCAATAAGTTTTAAACAACATATTGGGGCATTTCAACATACGAGCTCATAATGTAAGTTTTAAACTATATAAGTAATATTACGAGACTGCATAATGGAAAAGTTGATATATAGTCCTTGAGATTGAGATGATCCCAATTCCTTAGTAATTAATTGATGTAAAATAAGAAATCAACTATGGGGGATATATATATTAACGAGGGACAGCCAGAGGCAATGAGATAATAACTAACTAGTGGCCCCGGAGAGACGGGCGGATAGATCGGGCTGAGACCAGCCGCATAAGTCCGCAACACGGCGGTGGTGAGAGGCTTCGGGATAGATATGAGCTCATAATGTAAGTTTCAAACTATATAAGTAATATTATCGATTGGAGGCACTAATGATTGGGTAATCAGCAACATTCTTAAGTAATAAGCAGCTCCGTTAGATTTGTAATCAACATTGGGCAAACAGTACACAAATCAAAATTGAAAGAGCAAGAAGGCTACAATTTGGGAATGCTAGTTTATCAATGACTTTGTCCGTTATATCATGAAAATAAATCTACAATTTGGGAATGCTATTAATAAAATAGTGTAGTAGCAGCATTCTTTAAGAAACAGAACATTAAGAACCAAAAACATTTCAAACACATTGTCGTAGACTAGGAAAACCAAAGAAACAGCATTCTAATAATAATACATATAGTTGGAAAAACAAATTAAAATTACAAAAATTTCCTTTACATTAAGCAATTACTGGCTCTATTCTGGTTTAGGTGTCATGTTTACTATTTGAAGGTCAAACTGCTTCTTCTTTGCTCTTTTAATTTCTTTAACATTTTCGTATAATGTTTTAAATTTGGTCTTTCGTATTAAATATTTAAATGTAGTGTCTAAATATATAAATGTTATTCACTAATATGAATATATACTCTTCCTCACTATTAGTTTGGAATTAAGTTGGATTAAAGCACACAATTTAACAAAATGGAAGAAAAACATGCAAATCAGATTCTCTTATTCAACTGACAATAGTTTACCTCAATACTATCCTTTCCAATCCACCAGCACAGGTAATAATCTTCTTTCTTATCATGATAGTGATAGGTGTATAGAACTACATAGCAATCTCCGCTGTTTGCACTGCCATTGATGCACCAAACCTGATATAAAGGCAGCATTTAGTACTACATAAAATAGATGGCAGCTGTCACCGGTATGAAATTTAAAATCAGAGAGAGAATTCCGAATAAAGCAACTAAGAAAGCAAATAAGGCCCATATACAGATTAAGTAATTCACACATGGCAAACTACTAATCTAGGCTTAGCAAAAGATGATATGTGCATACACAAAAGAGGCTTTAATCTTTTAAAGTCCGCATCAACCTTAACTTAACATAGAGTACTATCAAAATAGTAATAGTAAGAGCAAATAAAAAACGGCAAAATGAGCAGTACTAGTGTGCTGTGTAGAAATTTAAAAGAAGTAACCATGAGTGAGTGAGTGAGTAGTTAAAAAAAAAGTAAAGGATTGTCAAGAAAATAAGAAAATTACCAAGTGAGTGAGTAGTTAATGTAAGGAAAATGATTGTGATTGAGGCATCTACTAGTGTGCTGTGTAGTGCTATATTACGAGACTGCAGACTTCTATCATCAAATGTAGATGCTAGTGTGCTGTGTAAAATCGATCCCCGAGAAATGAACAACGATGATTCATTAACTTCGATCATCAAACGTAGATGCTAGTGTATGCTGAATGAGGTGGCAGACTTCTAGAGAGAGAGTTGTAGCATTTAAATAATTAGATGAGGGGTTCAAATCAGTAATGTGGCCTTGTTATCAGTGGCAGCAATGGAAAAAAATAAGAATATTTTGAAGCACAGTGGTATCTCATTTGATAAAAAAAAAAAAAAAAAGCAACATCTACTGGCAGGGTTTGAGCACCGTCAAGCAGTGTAAGGATACAGCATGTAGTTTCCCTAGTCCCAAAAAAAAATTAATTTAATGGTGATTGTGTGTAAAAAATGATAAAGTACATAGGCCAAAAAAAATACCAGCTCATAATGTAAGTTTTAACCAGGCGCAAGAGAATTCGTTGGGCACATAGTAAAGAAAGAAGTTAAAACTTAAGCGAAGAATGGAATGGCCACGAGTATGCACCAAAATAGTACTATGGAGATATAAATGCATTTTCAGTTTCCCCAAAACAAACAATTAGCATAAGAGTATAAAAAAACAAACAAACAAACAAACAAACAAAAGCACTTTCAATCGGCTGTAAGGGACATGATTAAGGGCACTTGAGACCATGTTGTGACAATGAACAAGTGCTTTCAGTAGTATTTATTTACTATGTTTTAATCAATGTGGTTAAATTAGCCATGACAGACCTCATATTGTCTACAACTAAGATTTTTGGAGCACTCAGAATAATGGGAAAAACTCAGATTGCAATCTACTTGATGAGAAACACACAAACAAGACCAGTCCAGTTGTATATTACAAGACTGCAGAATTGTAATGATATTCCAGTTAAATAAAAAAGAAGTAACCATGAAAAGAAAGACAGTTGTTAAATACCAGTCCTTTTGATCGTCCATGATGCACTTGTCTTGTTGAGAAGTCTACCCGCAATGTACTTTAAAATGTTACCTTGGGATAATCAGCATCGTATAGCACAGCAGCAGACGCAGCAGCTAGGTCAGCTCACTGCATACGAGCTCTTATATAAGTAATATTACGAGACTGCAGATTGAGATGATCCCAATTCCTCAGTTTAGCCCTAATTCAATTTCAATTGTAATTAATTGATGTAAAAATAAGAAATCTGAAATGGGGGATATATATATTAACGACGGAGGGAGGGACAGACAGAGGGCAATGAGATAATAACGAACCAGTGGCCCCGGAGAGACGGACAGATAGATCGGGGTGAGAGCGGCGGAGACGGAGACACGGCGGTGGTGAGAGCCTTAGAGAGAGATGGGCGAGGCGGGAAGATAGGTAAGGAAAATCTGAGGTGAGGTTAGATTATTAAACTTAAGGATAAAATAACCAAAATATCCCCGGTTGAGCTGAGCTTGAGCTGACAGTATGTAAGTAAGTGTTGAATAATTATAAATTAGTTGTTTTGTGTAGAAAGTTTGACTGGTCATCACTTTTGACTCGGTCGTCCGTTTGGGACAAATTTTTTTTTGAAATCGCGTATTTTTTCGAGATCTACGCGGCGCAAACGGCCGCAGGCGGTTTGGCCGTCGAATTTCTCAAAAAAACGCTTCTTTTGGTCTTAATTTTAGTTTTTTATGTATTTAGATGTTTTGAACAATATTTTGAACAATTTTACAACTACTTGCGTAAAAAAATTGTAAGAAAAAACTATGGGAACATTATGTTTTATCAGTGAATTTCATTATTACGCAATCAATTGAAAGAAACTAAATTAGTGATTAAACATGTGATAACTTTTCTAAATAGTACATATTGTAGTGTTCATGTTGTAATAGCTCTAATTTCTTCATGATCTTTGTGGAGAGGGGATGGAAGTTGAGGTTGTGTGGTGGGTAATTCATCCATCATCATATCAATTATCAAAATAAGAGGTTTAATTTTGTTATAAGTTATATATATTTAAAGTTGAAAGTTCTCTTATATAATGCATAAAGTCTAAAGTTCATCCATGTTATTATCTAAAGTTTTAAGATAGAAGTTAGCTATATATTATGTTGATGAATGTTATTATCTCAAGCGTGAAGATAGCTATATATTATGCTTATCAATCAATGTTATTATCTCAATCAAGCGTGAAGATAGCTATATATTATGTTGATGAATGTTATTATCTAAATTATGAAGATAGCTATATATTATTTTTATCAATGTTATTATCTAAAGTGTGAAGATAATAGCTATATCTTATGTTTGTCCATGTTATTATCTAAATTACGTGAATTAATATCTATACAATGTTATTATATAATTTTAATTATTATAATATAAAGTAAGCTATACAATCATAAAATCAAAAGTTTGAAGTTTACATACCTAAATTTATATAATTATACATTCATTAATTATTGACATTTTGTGAGAAATTAACTTATCAGTTAATATATATATTTAAAACATCATTGTGTTAACATATTCTCTTCTGTTTAGGTGGATGGTGACTTAATTTTGTTTTGGTAGGGTGTGAGTTCAATTCCCACAGCGTGCAGTATATATCTTCAAGCCATTGCCCTCTTTTTATCTTCTATTACTTTCCTCTTCTTTTTTTTTTTTTTTTTTCCGCTTTTATTCTCATATCGCGCTTAGCGCTACTTAGGGGAGTATACTATAGGCTGTGGCTGTTGGGACGAGGATGGGGCGAGGTGGCTGTGGCGTCAAGGATGCGGCCGGGCTCGCGAAGCTGTGGCTGTGGAGGATGCGGTTAGGCGAGGCGACGCTGTGGCTGTGGCGGCGAGTATGCGGAGACGCGAGGCGTAGCTGTGGCTGTGGCGACAACACTTGGGGTGTGTATACACATTAAGCTTGGTGCCCTTGTATCTTATATGCTTCCTTTGCCTCCTTCATATGCTGCGATTAATTGCGGCGAGGCTGGGCTGTGGCGGCGACGGCGAGGCTAGGTATTCGAGGGCGGGGCGAGGGCTGTGCCGAGGCGCTGGAGGCTAGCTAGGCTCTGGCGACAACACTACCCTTCCTCCCTTCCTTCCAACGTCTACACTTCCTGCCCGACTGGGGCTGCCCTGTTTCCTCCTCCTCACCGTGTAAGGTATTTCTCTTATATGCCTTTTCCTCATTCATTTGGATTTTTTATTTTGCACTTATATCTACTGGAGTTGTTCTGCTCACTTTTCGCCGAGGGTAGCCGGCTTGTGCCCCACTTTATTTATTTGTTTGTGGTTACCGAAACCCATTTCCCATTCCTTGTTATTTTTTGTTCTACTGAACTGGACACTGCCGAACTTCCCGGGGGATTTGTAATCGGGAGAAATGGTAACCGCCGGCGGCGAATAATGATTTTAATTTGTGAACATAACCGGCCGACGGCGACATATTAGCCGTTCGCCGGCGAAACAATAGCCGGCCGCCGGAGACAAAATAGAACGCCGTCGGCGAATACTATTGCTGGCCGGCGATATAAAAGACCGTCGCCGGTGAAACAAGTGCCACCCGCCGGCGACAAATTAGCCGGTAACCGGCAACAGACTAGGCGGCCGCCGGCGATACTATCGCCGTCCGGCGATATAATAGACCGTCGCCGGTGAAACAAGTGCCGCCGGCGATACTATTGCCGGCCGCCGGAGACAAAATAGACCGTCGCCGGTAACACATTTATTATTTTAATTGAAATTTGTGATGTATGGGAACTCACAAGTATTTATTATCTTAATTGATATTTGTGATGCATTGGAAATCAAAAGTATTTATTAATCTGAATTGAAACTAGTGATGCATGGGAACTCACAAGTATTTATTATCTTAATTGATATTTGTGAAGCATGGGAACTCACAAGTATATATTTTTCCTTAATGAAAATTGTGATATGCATGGGACCTCACAAGTATTTATTATCTTAATTAAAATTTGTGATGCATGTGA